TTTTGGCTTCTGTCGCTCAGCTTCTAGCTAGTTTTGTAAACTGAAGTATGCCAACTCCGACCCATTTTTGAGCTTAAAAGCTCACCCAGAGAATGGTTCTGTGCTGCACTGGGATAAAGCTGGGTAGTAATCGGTATGAACCATCTTCCCTAGTGGATACTCCACAACAAAACCAAATCCAGAGAGATTAAATAATTTTCGTAATGCCACATAGTGGCACACTCTGGGTTAAACTCTGGCCACTTGGGAACCAGGTATATAATGTGCCGCTCCCCCCCCCTCCAATAAGTAGGAATTATTGCAGGGATGCTGAGGGGGCTTGAGCTGGGAGGGGCTGGATAGCTACTACTGCAGGAAGTAGATGCCAGGGGATAATGGTGGCTGGAATCACCTCTAGAGTCACCTGGTGTTCAGCTTTTGCCTTGGGTTCTGACTCCATCTGTGGTAAAGAGACCGCCAGTGTTCTTGGCGAATCTGTGGTAGAGAGGGAGATCCAGATGGATGCAAAAGCCTGCATACCGGGGTCTTGTTCTGCTAGTTAGAAAGAGAGAATTTCAATGCCAAAGACATCCTACTGTCCTTTGGATGGATTCCGAGATTATCTCTTCTAGAGATTATCTCTCTTTTTTTTTCTTTTGTAAAGTTCAAAAGATTGTCAAAAACACACAAATGACAGAGAAAATTGAAAATATTAATTGAAATTAATAAACATCAGCATGAGAAAGTCAAACATTTCCAAAGTATCTGGTAATTCTTGTGAAAAATATTGAGTGGATGCTGTCAATTCCTCTCCTCAACATTATCTGATTCTTTTTCTCCTTGTCCACTACAGCCTGGCAATTGTACTTAAGTCAAGAAAATTTGGTGAATATATACATAAAGTTGCAAAACAAAACAAACAAAAAAATCTGTTAAAACCATGTCTCAATACGTAGCCCATGATGTTCCTTAATTGATGGTCATGCTGCCTCAGCCTCCCAAATGCTGCCACCACATCTTGTTTAAAGTTGAATTAATTTTTCTTCCTTAGTCTAAGACAGGGTCTTGCTGTGAAGCCCTAACTGACCTGGTACTGGTCATGTAGTGCAGGTTAGCCATGAACTCGAGGCAAACATCTTGCCTTGGCTTCCCCATTGCTGGGATTATAAGCATATGCCTCCTGTCTGGCAAAAGTTGGTTTCTTTACAAACTACTAGCTGGGCAGTGGTGATGCATACAACCTTAATTCCAGCACTTGGAGGCAAACGCAGACGGATCTCTGAGTACGAGGCCAGCCTGGTCTGCAGAGAGAATTCGAGGACAGCCAGGGCTGCACAGGGAGACCCTGTCTTGAACAAAAATTAATAACAAAATATGTTAGAAAATTATGCTAATCTTAAAATATGTCTGCTAGTTTTTTTTTTTTTTGGATTTTTCGAGACAGGGTTTCTCCGTAGCTTTTGGTTCCTGTCCTGGAACTAGCTCTTGTAGACCAGGCTGGCCTCGAACTCACAGAGATCCGCCTGCCTCTGCCTCCCAAGTGCTGGGATTAAAGGCGTGCGCCACCAACGCCCGGCTGTCTGCTAGTTTTTGAAGTTTTAAATCTTTGGGCAATAAAATAGAACTCCGACTTGCAGGTGTCACACTGGAAAATGATACACAGAGGAATCCTATTCAGATGGACTGGATTCAAAGGGGAAAGGAGCTATGGCAACAAGCAGGAAGCAACTTAGTTTTGTTTTTGGAGGTTTTTAATTTTTAAAAATTACATAATAAGTTGTAGGGTGCACAGAGTGTGGTATGCCTGCCAAAGTCAAAGCGGGCTGTAAGTGCATGTACCTGCTAAGCTGTCTTGTCAGCTCCAACATGTAACTTCATTTAGATCTCTACTGCAGGTTGCAGGGTCTAAATCAAGGAAGCCTCCCTCCACAGTATAGGAGACTCGGGGAAAAAACTGAGTTGTTCTTACTTGTGAAGTTATATTTTTATTATGATGTGGACATGGAATTCTGCTTCTCAAAATCTCTTTGTATTCCATACTTGTCCTTTGCCAGTGTTTTGAAACATATGAGTTCTTTGTTTAGGAAGCTGCTAAGATACTAAAATTAGACTTTGACAATTGTTGATGAAAGATTTCCTATAAAAGAGTTGAGCCAAATGGCAAAGCAGCTTGTGGGGACTCACACTTTTGGTCAAGCATTTGAGAGGCTGAGGCAGGAGGGTTATACAAAGACTCAGTTTCTTTCTGTCTGTCTACTGATCTATCTATCTATCTATCTATCTATCTATATCTATCTATCATCTACCTGTCATCTATCTACCTATCATCTATCTATGATCTCTCTATCTATTATCTATCTATCTATCCATCATCTATCTATCCATCTATCTACCTATCATCTATCTTCTTTCTATCTACCATCTATCTCTCTCTCTCTCTCTCTCTCTCTCTATCTATCTTCTATCTATCTACTTATCTAACTTTTTGTCTGCCTATCATCTATCTATCTACATCTCTCCTTCCTTGATGCCACGTGCCTCTGCATCACCACCGGCCTCCAGAACACCTGGGCCAAGTGAGTGAGTGGAAGCCTATGAGACACCTCCTCATAAAGTTGATTTATTCCAGGCATTTTGGGACAGAGTTGGAAAGATGACTAACAACACTAGTCGTTAAGGAAATCCAAACCAAAACCATGATGGGGTGCTACCTCATACTTACCAAGATGGCTATTTTTTTTCAAACCCCCAAAAGTAATATGCACTGATTAGAATATGGAGAAAATGGAACCCTTGTGAGCAAGTAGGAGACAGTCATGGGGCAGGGGCTGTTCTCCATCTTTAAATTTTTTTTCCCGTTTTTGAGACAGGTTCTCACTTCATAGCCTTGTCTGGCCTAGAACTTGGTATGTAGACCAGGTGGCCTCAGACTCAAAGATCTCCCTGTCCCTGCCTCCCAAGTGCATTAAGGCGTGTGCTACCATGTTTGTCTGTCTTAGTTTTGAGACAGGGTCTCACTGATTTGACTAGTCAGTCTGGTCATTGAAGACCAGGCATCCTCTTGTGTCTGCCTCCTCGGCACTGAAATTATGCAATTGCAGAAGTGCAGGAGATTCAAACTCAGGTCTCCATGATTTTGTCACAGAGCACCTTACTGACTGAGCCATCTCATCACCACATACTTCTTTTAGAGACAGGTTTTACATAGCCTGGGTTTGACTGGAACTAAGAAGCAAAGACTGTAGTTGAGCCACCAGTTTGGTTCTCTTCTTCTAATGGCTGAAGCTACTGGGGGCAGGCATTCAGCTACTTGATCAATAGCTGCCAAACACTTCTCCTATGTTGGCTGTAGTGGTAGTGACCTCGGAGCACGTCTTCCCCAAAGAAGGCAGAGATCAGAGCCCAGTTGGAATTATTCTGCTGTTCCTGAGTCCAGTAGACATGTGAGCCAGGTTGCTGTTACTATTGAAGTTAAGCATGTGGTAATGGTGTGTGTAGGGTGTGTGTGTGGGGTGGGTATGTGTGTAGGGTATGTGTGTGTGTGTGTGTGTGTGTGTGTGTGTGTAGACACAACTGCTTTGATCCAACCATTTTTGTGGAGACTGTAGGAGCTGACAGTTGTACAAATACTTCTCTCAGGACTCCCCCATATGTTGTCATGGGAACCTTGGCTGCTTTTAATATCCCATGGCTACCCAGAAAGACCTTGATTCATCTTCAAATGCCCAGTTGTTTATATACACAATAGAGTCTAACTTCCAGTGTGTGTGCCTGGATTCGTATTTGTGCATGTGGGGTGGAGGGATGGGTGGGTGGGGTAGCAATAAGATATAAAGGAGAAACCAGACCATGACAGGAGAAAAGGTTTAAGGAAGGGATGTGGGGAGATGGGCAATTGAATCAGGTGACATGGTGGTGGTAAAGGGGCCCGAGCTGTAGGGAAAACATGGACAGAAGAGCAGGGGAGGAGGAGCAAACAAAGTGTTTGTGAAAGATCTCAGCCCAGAGGAAGGTGGACCTCTGTGAGTGTGTGTGTGTGTGTGTGTGTGTGTGTGTGTGTAGTGCACAGAGGAAGGTGGACCTCTGTGAGTGTGTGTGTGTGTGTGGTGCACAGAGGAAGGTGGACCTCTGTGAGTGTGTGTGTGTGTGTGTGTGTAGTGCACAGAGGAAGGTGGACCTCTCTCTCTCTGTGTGTGTGTGTGTGTGTGTGTGTGTGTGTGTGCAGTGCACAGAGGAAGGTGGACCTGTGTGTGTGTGTGTGTGTGCAGTGCACAGAGGAAGGTGGACCTCTGTGTGTGTGTGTGTGTATGTGTGTGTGCAGTGCACAGAGGAAGGTGGACCTCTGTGAGTGTGTGTGTGTGTGTGCAGTGCACAGAGGAAGGTGGACCTCTGTGAGTGTGTGTGTGCAGTGCCAGAGGAGGACAGGAGGTGGGGTCAGTTCCCTTGGATCCAGAGTTACAGGCATTTATGGGCTGCCTGCCATGTGAGTGTTAGGAACTCTGGTCTTCTGCAAGAGCAACTTGTGCTCTTAATTGCTGAGCCATCTTTCTGATCTCCTCCCCTGCAAGGTGTTTCTAGTGGGGCAGGGGTGTCACTGACACAGAGAAGCAAAGGCTCTCTGTGGCTAGTCCAGTGAGGTAGGATGAGGCTTGGAGACTGATTCTGCTCTTTCTTTTTTCTTTTCCAGACCAGGTCTCAGGGTGACCTTGAACTCCTGATCCACACCTTCCTCTACCTCTTGTGTGCTGGGATCACAGGAGAGTGTCACCACGTCTGGTTTATGTGGTGCTGAGGGTCACACTCTGGGATGTGCGTGTTAGGAAAGTGCTCTAGCAGGTGAGTCCATCTCCAGCATGGAGCCTCTTCTGACTTCCATCAGAGCCAACCAAGCTCCAGAGAAGCAAGATGAGACAGTATATATCACATGTGTGACAGTGTAAGACACAGCTTGAAAGATGTGCACTGTCTTAGTTACTTTTCTATGGCTGTGATAAAACACCATGACCAAGGCAGTTGCACAGAGAAGGAAGTTTTATTTGGGACTGACAGTTCCAGAGAGAAAGCGTCCATCTTGGCAAGGAGGTCTGGCAGCAGGCACAGTGGCTGGAGCAGCCACCGTGAACTCACATGTTAAATTGAAAACAGGAAATAGAAAAACTGGGAATGGCACGAGTCTTTGGACTCTCAAAGCCAGTCCCCATTGACACATTTCTTCCAGCAAGGTCCCATCTTCTAAACTTCCCCAAACAGCCACTAACAACTGGGGACTAAGTATTCAAATGCCTGAGGCATCTGGGGGACATCTCCTTCAAACCGCCATGTGCAGTTAAACTTTTCTTTCTACTCATTCCTCTGTTTGTTGTGTTTGTACATATGTACATTCACATGCATGCGTGGGTGCCTGTGTGGTGGTCAGATGACAACTTGCAAGAGTGAGTTCTCTCCTTCCACCATGTGGGTCCTGCGGATTGGACCCACTGAGCCGTTTTTGTTGCCAGATGTGCAGTCTTAAGCTTGGAAATTGGTCCTGTACTCAGCCCTCCCTTTTGTAGATGAAAGGCTGAAAGCTTACCAGATACAGCATTGTCTCTGTAGGCAAAGGCAGTGAGAGAGAAGAAGGAAGTCTAGGAGGGTGGAATTGGGACTGTTGCCACCCCGACAAACAGGACTTGAGAGAAGGCTGGAAAGCAGTCGTTCTTATTTTCCTTAAGGTGGGAATTCCTTTTATTGAGGCATAACAATTTTATAAAGACTGTGGGTCCTGACCCACAGCCCTCTGAGGTCACCAGACAGCAGGTTCTCACGGCTTCTGTCATCTGTGGTCCTCACCATGCTGGTGTGGATGGCCTTACCACAACAAATGCATTTTCCTCAGGCTTCCTCTCTGGACAAAACCTCTCCTAAACCACTGTCTTCACTTTAAACTGCAGACGGGCATTGTTTTTATAAAGTGCTTCCATGCCCTGCTTCTCTCTTGATCCTCCCAAAACCCTGAGGTAGATAGGGAGGGGCTGTGATCCACCATACATCCTCAGTCCTCTAGTGTCCTGGGTGGGCCCGGTCAGCCTCGCTTGTATGGACTCAATGCTTTCTTCTTCCTTTCTCATTTTCCCCAGCATCCTACTGGAGTCCTTGGCAGGTTCAGTACAGAAGGGCAGATGTGCCTGGGTGACTGCAGCCTGTAGTGAAGTGCAACTATCCCTGGGGTATCCAGTGAGCTGATCTTCCCAAAGCTTGCAACCTTTCCTGTTTTTTATTCATCGTCTAATCCTACATTTCAGGGAAGCTGGCAAATCTCCCTTTTGTCCAAAGGAATCTGATGTTGTTTTCTCTTGCCTAAATGTTAGGCGTCAAACCGGAAGGGTTCTAAAAATTAATATAATTTAATTCCCATCAGGTCAGTGAAAAACAAAGATGTTTTAGGAAAAAACACGGAAGGCTGAAACTTGCCTCCTCTTTTAGTTCAGTTTCTCAAGTCAGCAAGGATCACAGAGTTCTTTTGGGGCCAGGATCCCCTGAGTTTGCTGGGCCCACCAGGCAGAGAGCTGCGGTTTGATTCTATTCTAGGTAGCCTCTTATGAGGAAAGCAACAAGTGGCCCATTTGCCTTGTTCAAAATGGAGATTCTCGCAATACCTGAACTTTCATCAAGGCCCGTTTCAGCTGCTCGTAGGTTACAAACATCATCACATTCCAGGCTCCCAAACGCAGAAAGGAGGGCATAAATCTGAGGAGAGAAACAACTACCTCGTGAAGAGGACCGGGCTAGGAGGCACAGACACACCTACCTGTGCTGTCTCCATGCTATCTGAAGGCTGCTTGTCACAATTATTTTTTCTGAGATCCGTTTTGGCTTTGATGTCACTGCTGAGGGAATGTAGGCAGGAGTTGGAACCAGAAAAGGAACAATAGCTATCATTAAGGCAGGTTACAGTGTTTGGAAGTTAATTCTCAGAGGTCTGTGGGCTCACTCTGCTGGCTGCTTGCCCTTTGTTAAAAACTGAGGCCAGAGAGGCTGAGGCCCTCAAACCACAAAGTTGGGGCTGGAGAGATGGCTCAGTGGTTAAGAGCATTGCCTGCTCTTTCAAAGGTCCTGATTTCAATTCCCGGCATCCACATGGTGGCTCACAACCATCTGTAAAGAGGTCTGGTGCCCTCTTCTGGCCTGCAGACATGCACACAGAATATTGTATACATAATAAATAAATAAATAAATAAATAAATAAATAAATATTTTTTTTAAAAAAAACCACAAAGTTGGTAAGTAGTGCTGTAGGGTTGAGGCACACTGTCTGACCCAACTCATCCTGACGCTAGGGGCTTTAGGCTCATTTACATGCATATTTCCACCCAGAGAAAGCCCAGGCTAGGACATGAAGAAGTAGATGTGGGGTAGGGTGGAGGGACCATGGCACCAGAAATCAGTTCGTTTCCAGAAAGCTCTGCTCAGCTACTACCCGGGGGAGAGGTCCATCTGACCCTGCTTCTCAGAGGCGGGGACGATCCTGGCCTCTGGTCCCTCAGCTCAGTCACTGTCCAATTGCTCCCTCTCGGTCCCCCTGGGTTCTGCGGGATCAAGTTATCATGCCCTGGGGATGCCAGGCCCTCTTCTGTCCCTTTAAACACATTGCTGTCCCCTCGGTTTGGATTGTCTTTCCAGTCTGAAGGGCTGCTCTTCGTGCTGTAGGATTCATTTGGGCATGGCAGCCAAGTACCATGGCATTTCCTTTGTTGGGGAGGGTATGGGAAGGCTTTACTATGTAGTTCTGGCTGGACTTGAACTCAAGGCAAGCCCTATTTTAACCAGCTTGTCTTGGCTGTTCTTGAACCTTCATATAAGGATTATATCACTGTGGCAATATTATCCACACACCAGAGTCAAGCCAAACCTGGGCTAAAATCCTAGCTGCTCCAACTTCAGGTGCCTTGTCTTAGAAGTAAGGACAGTAAAGCTGGGTGTGCCAGCACCTTGTCTATGATTCTCTGAGGGAGGCATAGGGCAGATCCTGGCACACACACAATGTTCAATAAACATTTGTCAAGTGATAGAATAAACTGAGTCACAAGCTGAAAACACTCAGGTGAACCGTGTTGGGTAACAGGTTGAGTACGCCATTTCCAGACATGAGAACCTCTGTGGCTTCTGTTGGTCTGCTGCACTCAACTAAACATCACACACCAGAAAATACTAGCTGAAGGCAACAATGTGGGAGCCAAGCAAAGACCTTACCAGTGGGATAGGGTGTGGTCTTAGTGTTGGGGCCTCCATTTTGAAGCGCATTGTGGGGACTACTACCCAATTCAGAGGGCTGTAGCAAAGCCCTACATAAAGTACCTCATACAAGGCTCAACGTAGGGACTTGGTTTTCAGGATGAAGATGAACAACCCACACTATTGCATACTTGCTCTGTGTTTGGATCTTCAGATGATAAAAATGGATGAGTCACTGGCCTCAGCTCCAAGGAGCATGAAGATGAATTTGTAGGAGGTGAAATTACACTGGAAGGAGATCAAACAGTACTACTGATGTTCAGGGAGAGGGGGAAACACGTGTGAGGGAGGAGGTGGCATTTGGATTAGTCGGCAAGGGTGGCTGAGATTAGATTATACAGGCGTTGAGGAAGGCATCCCCATGGGCTAAGGTGCTGTGCACACAGATGCACACCCTTGGACTGAGTTTGAACTATGGAACCCATGTAAAGGTCGAAGGAGGGCACCAACTTCACGATACACACATACACCACACATAACATGTTATGGTGATAATGATAATCCTTCCATGCAGGAACAGGAAGCCTGAGTGTTGGCATGGAAGAATGGCACTCACGTTGCCATGAGTGTGGTGGTGAATGGTCAGAGCAGCAGGGGTGAAAATCTCCCCCGCCCAAAGTATTTGGAGACAATAATTTTATCTAGTCATGGCCTACTTTTTCTTAGGCTTCTGGGATAAGAAGACCCCAAAAACCAGGTGTGGTGGTATAACCCCTGCACCAGGTGTGTGTGCAGGGTTCAGAGGTGGAGCCAAGGGGAATTAGAATGTCAAGGTCATTGTTGGCTACTTAGCGAGTTCTAGGCTGGTCTGAAATTCACCAGACTCAGAGAAAAAAAGGGAGAAAAGGACAAAGAAGAGAAGACAGGAGAGAGAGGAAGAGAGAGAGCTCAAGTTTTTTGGAAAGAGTGGTAGAGGCAGAAGGTGACAGCTTACCCTTTGTAGAAGGCTGTGGGGCCCTCCTGCGCCACCATCTTCAGCATACAGTGTAGCGGGCTGTGGTACCTGCCTGGGGGCGCATTCATGTATCTGGTCTTTACCACATCCACTGGGGAGGCCACCACTGTGGCACAAAAGCCAGCTCCAAAGGCGGAGACAAAGTGACAAGGGAAGTTGTCTGTAGAAGGGGAGGGAAGAACAAATTCCAGGAATGGAGCAGGTGTGTAAGCTTTGCATCTCCAGTGCAACCCTGACCTGGAGCACAGTACTCAATGCTCTTGGTTAGTCTTCACAAGCTAGAACCTAGCATCTCTCATTTCTGAGTAAGAAAGCTGTGTAGTTTTTTTTTTTTCTTCTAGGAAACTGAAGTCAGAGAAGGCAAGGGACTGTCACAAATATACTGAGTATGGTGCTGGCCCTGGAACCCAGGGCTCTGGCTTCTAGCCTAGGCCTCTTTCTTCATCATAATCCTGAACTGGGTACTGCTCCTTGCTCTGTTTTTTTTTTTTAGATCCCTGATGCCTCTTGAGTGATACCCACTCCTGTCTCCCTACCCACTCTCACCAGTGAACAGGTGAGAGTCCAGCAGCTTCTCCTTGATGATGTCATAGGTCACCATCTCAGCACAGTTGACAATGGCGTTTCTCGTGATGTTGGGCCAAGTCCCTGTTAGGAAGGCAGGGAGGACTGATGAATGCAATGCTCCAGCTTGGGTACTGAGCTCTATAGCAGTGGACTTGGCCAGAGGACCACACCTCAGCCAAGTAGATCCCACTTTCCTTCTGTGGTTATCAGCTATCAAACTCCTGTACCTTCACAAACAGATGCCCATTGCTTGGCTGCATTTGGAGCATAGTTTGCACTCTGTCAACATTTCAACATGCCTCCCGGAGACCCAGAGCAGTCAGGAAAGGAAATTTTCCATGGAAGAGGGAGGCTGAGTCCCTAGGACAGTGACAGAATGTATGGCAGGACCCTGGGAGGCTTGGCATGCGTGGGACACCAGCAAGAGAGTACACTGGCAGCACTGCGACTGGGGTGTCCTACTCTTAAACACCACAGGGCCATTTTTCTCATGCAAAGATTCATGGGAATGGTAGTCCAAGCACAGGAGGGATTCTGGCATTTGCCAAGGGCTAAACACAGGGGACTCTACGGTCTTCATTCCAAAGGAAGTCCCCTCACTCACTCACTGCAACTGGCTCCACAGCTGTGCTCCTCCATGCTTCTGTTTCTGCTCTGTCCTCTGAAGGCTTTCCCCTTCTGTCCCTACATCTTGGTCTTTGAGATCAAGTGATTTTTGGATCCAGCTCAGCCTCTCCACCTCTGGCCTGCCTCCTGGCCCCCTGCCTGTGATGTAAGCTGCACCTTGGCTTCCTTAGTTCCTCTGCAGTAAACCCAGGAGGAGGGGACACCCTGTGCTCATTTCTGTCTCTCTCAGGCTGGCCTATGCAGGGGAGGATTGGTAAGGTGAACAATATTTGAGGTCCTGTGTCAGGTGGGGTATTGTATTTGGGTGTTCTTTGGGAGAGCCATGCTTTGGGAGTTCCTGCTTGCTGGGTTCCCTGTCTCAGTCCTCAGGATAGGAAAGCTCTGCCCAAGGGTACCATGTTTACCTTTCCACAGGCCCCTGACTCCTTCCTCCCTGGCAATGGTTCTGTAGGCATCCATAGTCCCTCTGTATTTCCTCTCGCCTCCAGTTCCCAGGCGTATCATGGCTTGAAATCGGACCTTCACCACATCTGTGGGCTGGGCACAGGTCACTGCCATGGCTCCCGTGGTGCAGCCTGCTAAAATCCTGATGGCGATGCTGGAGTCTGGAGATGGCAGAGAGAACCGTGAGCACTTAACACCGTCAAAATCTTGCCAGTGTCTATCACCAGTTTCCCCGCGTCCAGTTCTCCTTGTTGGACCACTCCATGTCCTTGACCCACAGGCCAACTGAGCTCCCACCCACCCCTGGTGCTGGTACTCACGGTCCTCTCCTTTGGGAGTGTAGAACTGTTTGACAGAGTCGTAGAGGCCAATTCGAATGGAGGCAAAGCTCATCTGACGATGCAGGCCAGCAACCAACCCGCTGTAGGGACTCCGGGGACCCTCAGTGCGCACCATGGTCAGGATGGTACCCAGCACGCCGCGGTACTGTACACTCTGCGCCCCTGGGTTCTCCCCCTGGATCTGAGGGACAAGTGCAGGGCCTGAGGAGCTGATAGGTGACTGGGGAAGGAGGGGCTGTGTGTGCAAGATGGTGCAGTTCACAAAGCCGCTCTCACACCGGAGTGGTTGGTTTGCCTTCTATCTTATAGTAGATGGAGAGCGGCTCACCCAAGCCCACACCGTTACTGCCTTACTTTTATTTTAGCCTTTACGGTTTACAAAACAGAGGTAGGTAAGCTGTAAAGAGCCGCATCATATCTAGGTATTTGGATTATTTTGGTCCCGAGGGAAGGTGGTAGGGACCAAAGCAGTGTGTGGAGTGGCCTTCCGCCAAAGCAGTGTGAGGAAGTTGGCACCTGGGCTGATGCTGCGCAGAAGCAGCTCCTCCTTCCTCATGAATCATAACCATTGGCCAAAGGCACCCACCTGCAGGCGGACCTTGGCAGTGTCCAGGGGGAAGGTGAGGAGGTCAGCAAAACAGGCTGCCATGCCAGCCCCTAGGAACTTCACAACTGTTGTCGGAGGCACTTCTGAAGGCTGAAGCCCAACCATGGTCTTGAGTGGCTGGGCCTGGTTCCTTTGGTGCCTATGGAGGTTCAAGGAGCAAGGTCGCCTGGCAATCCTTCAGTTCCCAGAGGCAGCTGCAGGAGATAAGGCAGAGAACACACGGAGTCTGGGCTGTCTGGCTCTGTCCTGCTCCCAGAGATCTCACAACACCCTGAAGGGGCGTTTCAAAGTGAGAAGACTGGGTACTGCCACACTTAAGCTGCCTGAACTTGGCCCATAAAAATCCTGTCTTTCACACCAAACAATCCCTGTCACAGAGGATTAAGGGGATAGCAGACAGGGCCGTTGGTATCATCACTGAATGGCTGAGGAAACTGAGGTCAGGCAGGCAGCATGCCTGGTTCTGACTCCACAGGCACCCTGTTCTCACAGTGTCTGCTGTTTCCTCACTGGGCAAGTTTTCTGAGGTGTCTCATGCCTCTTTCCCAAACAGGACAAACATTACTTTCGACTGGAGATAGTAATTCATCCTGGACTAAGCCAGTCCCCCCCCCCCCCCCCTCAAAGGACGCCTTAACCCTCCTGCCTCCTTGGTAGGTATTGAACTTAGGGCCTAGTGTAAGGTGAACCCTCTACCAATGAAATGCCTCCCTAGCACTCTCCTGTTATTTTTTAATTATTTGTATTTTATGTATGAGTGCTCTGTATATATACCTGCATGCTAGAAGAGGGCATCAGATCCAATTACAGATGGTTGTGAACCACCATGTGGGTGCTGGGAATCGAACTCAGGACCTCAGCTGAGCCATCTCTCCAGCTCTCGTATGTATGTATGTATATGTATGTATGTATGTTTGTACGTATGTATGTATGTATTTGAGGCAAAAGTTTCACTAAATTCCCCAGGCCAGTCTCGAATCTGAGATCATACAGCTTCAGGTTCTCAAATGCTGGGATTCTATCCCTACGCTGCTGTGTTTGGCCTGGATATACCTCTCTCTATAAAAGAATCCTTCTCAGTTTTTGTTGCTTCCCTCTGTAGGGTTTCCTGACTGGTCTGTTGGTGGAACTGGGCGTCAGGTTCTTGCTGTTGAGCCCTCTCCTTCCCAGTGGCTGAGGGCAGTGGTCTCACACCACTTGAGCTGCATTCGTTTGGAATACAGTTCTCTCAGACACCGGCAGACTGCCTCTTCATTTCCTTCACACTTCTCCTAAGATGTCACCTCTAAAGAGGATCTTTCCTGAACTCAAATGCTAACTCAATACCACTTTCAATCATCTCGTGGCACCAGTCACCCCTCGACCTCATCTGCTGCTGTACTGTCCCCCTCAGATGCACCGGCTCCAGAACAGGGGCCTCGCCCATCTAGGGGCGATGTATTTGTTGAGAAAACAGATGGCAACATCTTTGGGAGCTCCTCTCTCACATCTGTCCAAGCCCGTCCTCACCTCATGCCTCTGAGCTATTCCAGGGATTCAGCTGGTAAAGGCCAGCACACATAAACCCACCCATAGGGCTTGGTTTCCCGGAATAAAAACCCACGCCTGTGAGCTGCCTATGGAGCATTGTCAGCAGACCATAAGGGCTGGTTTAGACAGTGCCCACAAATAACTGTAGTGCACGCTGAACTGTGGTCAGTATAGATGTGGTCAGTATAGGAGCTGTTGAGGAGGGTCCCAGAGGAGGAAGACTGTCCTTTTGCTTGTAAGGGGTACAGAAGGATTAATGTAGGCCAGGCTTGAAAAGGGTTTTTGGCAGCTGCAATAATGAAAAGGATGGTCTAGGAGAGGCCTGAACCTGTAGGGCAGTGGCTCTCATCCTTCCTAATGCTACGACCCTTTCATACAGTTCCTCAAGGTGTAGTGACCCCCAATTATAAGGTTATTTTGTTGCTACTTCATAAGTGAAATTTTACTACCATTATGAATCATAAGGTAAATACCTGATATGCAGGATATCTGATATGGGGTGGGGGTTGAGACCCATAGATTGAGAATCATTGCTATAAGCGAAGCTCAGAGCAGGAGGAGCTGACTGCTGGGCTGTAAGGGCCCTGCAGTGGGAGCTTTCCACATACATGTCACCTCCCTCGATTTTCAGCTCCTGTTAGGAAGGGCAGCAGAGGCTTGGAGACATTAGCTTGCTCAGTGAACACAGCTCCTGGTGTCCAAACCCGTGTTCAGCCTATTTCAGGTTCAAAATCACTTTGGAAAAAGCAGGGCAGTACCTAAATCCAGTTTACAGATGAGAAAATAGAGGCTTAAGATGGAAAGAGGTTGACTGACCGCTGGTCACAGAACTCCAATCTAATTGTTCTGATAGCCAAACCATCAGTTGTCATTACTACACTATCCATGGTCTAGTCAACGTGGTCATCTGTCTTTGGTTGAGCATTCAAAGCAGTTACTGAGTGCTTCATAAAACCAAATATACATGTCTGGAGAAGGCTGGCTGAATACCAAGGTCCACTAATCAGATGAAAGTCATGGGCCCAGAGAGGCTAAAGTCTATGTGGGTGGGTACAGTCAGACCTTGGCTCTCCAGGCTCTTCTTTCAGCCCATCTTCTTGTCTGTCTGAGTTGTAAATTGAGAGAAGCCCAAGGAGGGGGTTCTTTGGAGAGTGAGGCCTGAGGCCTAGGCTCTTGAAGCCAACTTGGCTGGGAACCAGCTGTGCAGGCGTGTTAAGGAAACACCATCCACTTGCTCAGGCCTCATTCCCCTTTGCCCTACAGAAGGGCAGCCAGGCCTGGCTCCTTCCCAGCAGGGAGGTACTGGATTCCCTGCCCAGGCCTGGCATGTACTGTGGGAGCAGCTGACTCTCTTGATGGCATCTGGTGGCCTCTTCTTCGCCCCCAGCCTTGGATTTGCCTGGAGAGCTAGGCTGCTGGGTGACTTGCAATCACGAATCTGAGGTTCACACAGAGGTGGGGAGGCCCCTGGGATGAGCCTATCTTGGGACCATTCAGGTGCTGGCAGAAAAAAACCTGTGTTCTGCTCTGCTTTGTAGAGAAACACCGAGGTGAGTCACGCAAAGGACCTGTGTATGGCCACTGTCACACCGTGAGTGACTCCTCTGCTGGAGGGAACAGAGGGTGGGTGGTGCTGGTGCTGAGCCAGGTCCTGCAGAGACCACTTAATGGAGTTTTCTCCTTACTGGGGCCAGGTGCGCCTCTGGAGTTTTTGCTTCCTTGTCAACCAGGGCTTCCCTTCTCAACTCACTTTGTTCTCTGCTACTTTTGACCCTGCTGTCTTGTAGCACTGCCTCACTAACTGTAGGTCCATAGGAGCCTCCAAAGCAGGGAAAAGATCAACTTTCCCTCCTTCTCTGTGAAGACAGTCCAAGGAGGGCCAGCTGCCCAAAAATCATTCTTACCAAAATGAGGAGACAGGAAATGAGGTCAGAGATGACCTCAGGACCCTTTGGTAGAGGGCTGCAAATGCCAAGGTTAGACTTAGTCTAGTGGAGAATGAGGAGGGGCTGGGGGGTTGGAGCATGCAGGTGCAGGCATCAAAGACAGACCAGTGAGGATGGTGTTGGAAAGGTGCTCACAAGAGACCAAAGCCTGAGCTTGCAATTGGGTGCACCAAGTCTTTGAAGGAGTATCCCTGAGCCATGCATCAGAAATAGAAAGGACGGGGAGACATTCTTGAGTACGTGGGCAAGGTTAGAAAGGCAGACACAGTAGGACCCTCCCTGAGGTCAGAGCTCCCCAATCTCCTCCTTGCTGTGCCTCAGCTGTTATTTGAAAATCCTGGTGGGCTGCAGACCTTTGAAACCATCTGGAGGTGCAAGTTCTGAGCAATCCTCATCCTGTGGCCCTGCTAGGGCACGCAAAGCATGAGATGCTCCAGTCTACAGGGCCCATTTGTGTTTGCTGAGTGTGTCCTGCCTTCAGCTTAACCCGTTCTCTCAAGCATTTGCATCTGCACTGAGGACGCCAGCAAGTAGAGTGAGCACAGGCTTTAGAAAAGTCTGCCACACCTGGACCAGAGATGCCCTCATCATCTCTACCTAGGAAGGGCCCCAGGACAAGTGCTGGAGAGGAGTTTGTCCTCTGGGCGGAAATCCTGGGCCAAAGGAGGACACTGCCCATCTGTGATCTGTAAAATTCTAAGAGAGGGGCCAGTAGCACAAAGGGGAGTCTTGGGGAGTCACACAGATATGGGAGCTTCCCTAGGGCTGCACTTCCTTCATCTTGACCAGGTGGGGCTAGACCGAATCACTCCTGGCTGTGAGCTTCTATGGAAGGGAGAGCAGGCAAAGGGGGCAAGGGGAGCTGAGGCAAGGTATGGGGTCTCACCTATCAGTCTAGCCAAGGTAGGGGCTCCCTGGGGCTCCATTCCAGTGGTGGCAGCAGGATCCGATGGCCCCTCCTCACCATTCACTGTTGTCTCTGTTGCCTCTGGCTCGGTACTGGTCTTAGGCACCAGCTGACCTGAAACCTAATTCTGAGAAGCTAGTTGACAGCACGATCACTTGACAAGAGGCGGGCTGCTGTGCGGCAGGGAGGGGAGGGGATCAGGGAGTTCCAGATCTGGTTTATCTTCCTGGACCTGGGGCTCTTTAACATGGCTCTTTTGGGTTTTTAAGAGGAGCGCTACATTGGTGATCAGGGGAGATGGGGTGTGGTGTGTGCATTGTCACCTTTGAGAGCCCAAAGGTTCTCTGGGGTCTCTTCTTCCCAACAGCAATGATGATAAGCACCCTTTCTTGGTGCCCGTCGGGTGCTTGGTATTTTAGACACATCATTTCTATTTCCCTTACCTCCAAAGAAACAATTATTATCGGGATCCTAAATTTAAAAACAAAGTAAAACAATGTCCACTTAGAGCACACAATTCAAACACTTTTTGTAGAGTCAGGTTGAGCAACTACTATAATCTAGTTCAGAACATTCTCATTACAGCTCAAAAATACGAGTCACCCCTTCCTCCCCGCACCCCAGCTTCAGGCAACCACTCATCTTTCTGTTTCTATTTGCTTGCCCTAGATATTTGTTTGAGTAGGATCATAGAGTGTATGGCTTCTCGTGGCTGGCTGCTTTGACTTGCACAGTGGTGTTACACACCGAAGCGTGTATCAGTACTTCACTCCTTTACTGTGTGTAGAACCCTCATGAGTCAATGCTTTACACAGAAAACTGAACCTCAAGGACAGTGGCTTCCCAAGTACACAGCTAGGACACATATAACACACATTGGGTCTATCTGCTGTAACCACTGTTCTCCACGACATGTCATCTGCAGGCACTGAGGTTGGTCATAGCTGACACAGAAGGCAGACAAAAAGGAGAGGGGGCAGGAGAAGATAGGCAGGGAAGAGAAGATTGAGGCCATTTTGAAGCTAGAGCACAGAGCCCTGGTCCCAGGGTGAGTAGTGTGACGTCTAGTGTCTATCCTCTATCTTGGTCCATGCCCTGCCCTTACAAGTTTGGAACTATTACTCTGGAGTTGGGCAGGACTGAGAGCTATGGGGGGGAGGGGGGTTGGAGCTACAAGGAAGAGTCAGACTGGAGGCAGCAGGTCCAGGAAAAACCCGAGGGAGGGGAGCTCAGGTGACTCTGGCCTCCCGCTTCCTGCTTCCTGAGGGTGGATCTGCCTGGGCTTCTAGCTAGAGTTAGGCCTCTGCTAGAAGTTCTGAGGTTGCCTGCTACCCTCTCCGGCTCACCAGAAACCATCTGTTTTCAGGCGTCTGTGGAGGGCTTGTATATGTGGGAGTCAGGGAGACACTGGTTCATTCTAGTAACAGTGGCAGTCACCTCAGAGCTACTGGTCAGTAACACACACCGTCTTGTGTTGTCACCATCAATGTTCACCTTTTCCTTGTCACCAGCGCTGTCTGCAGCCTGTGGCCCTGTCCTCACTTGACCCCATTGGGTTATTTACAGGATGGAGCAGGGTTTGGCAGGGATCTTCTTCACCCGAGGCTTTACCCCTTAGGCCTGGAACCTGGAGGTTTCTTATTTCCCTGAGAGATGTGGAACTCCAGGTACTGGGAGCTCTCTCTAGTCTCCCTGAGTGTGAGGCCTGTGGCTGAGGCCAGCCCTGCCCTGGTTGGGGAGGGGGTGGGTTTGCAGGGTGAAGTTCAGGGAGCAGAAATAAATGTGAGGGCAGACTGGGCAGAGGGTACATGGCCCATAAGGGGAGGCTGGGTACTGGCGTTCTTACCTCTAATTCACTCCAGGAGCTTGGGAAGAGGGGGCGGGGCTGACATTTCCTAAGCTTACATTCTGTGCCAAATGCCAGCCAAGTATTTTCAGAAATGTCCCATTTGATCTTCACAGCAATCCTATGAAGCCAGAGTCTAAAGACGTCTGTGCCTTCCAGATGAGACCAGAGGCACAGACACTGCCAGGCTGGACTCTGGTACAGCCCAGAACATCCTTTTGGTTCTATCTGCAGATGTCTGTGGCCTGGCCATTCTCTGGGTTTACTCCAGCACTGATTTCTTTCAGGAATCCTTCCCTGGACGTAGTAGCCTATCTAGGCTATAGAGTGTAGAGTTGTTTTGAAGATTCAGTGAAATGACAAACGCTTAGGGGTGACAAGCAGGGTCCTCTGGTAGGTACCTTCCAGCCTCGTCACCCAGCTGGTGCTATACATCTGTGCCCCTTCAGAGTCGTCCCCATAGGGCTTTATCAATGGTATCTGCCCAAGTGACTGTGTTCTGACAGAGACGCCTTTCTGAGACCCAGGGGACTCTGAGGGACTGGGTAATAGACTTTCACTATGCTGAGAGATTTCAAGGATCATCAGAGGAAAAGACAAAACCAAGAACAAACAAGCAAAACCCAACAATCAAGAGGGGATACTGGTGTCACTCCAATGTGGGCCAATCCGACACCAGGGAGAACTCAGAAGCCTCACGGTGACTCTGGTCCCTTGTTCCAAATGGCTGAGGAATGGTTGTCAACCTTTGTTTGTGCAGCAAAGACTACAAATGAATTCCAGCACCTTTTCCCAGTGACCAACCCAGAAAATACTTGTGCACAAATACAAATACCAGTTTTATTAACACAAAGGCAAGAACAATTAATTTCAGAGCTGAGTAAAAAACAAACATTAAGTTAAAAACATGGTTAGGTTTCAGACAATCAAACAGTTTAAAGGAGGTGATCCCCCCCTGCGCTATTGATTAATTCACTAAATCATAAAAATAATTTATGTCTACAAACACATTCCCAAATAAACAAGCAGAAAGGGCCTTGGAATTTTCTCAGCTATGCACGCACTTACTGCTCCCACCAATATTTAAAGCAAAAATAGGGTGGCTATGGCTAAAGCAAGAGGCTGTGTCAAGGATACTGGTTTCTCTGCTCAGAGGTGCCTCCTCAGGCCCCAGTCAGAAGATGGATGGGCGGGCCACTCGGGTGCTGGAGTCCATTTTATTTCCAGCAGTTGCCTCATTACAGAAGGAAGCTGAAGTCCTAGTAGGCAGAAGTTAGTGGCTCCAGACATCTCTCTAGTCTTAGCTAATTAGGTCTCAAGATGCCCATGGAATAGGGTGGTGGTTGTGGCCTCAAGATGCCGAGGGAAACAGACCTGGTGCCTCTTGTAAGTTAAACAAAGACGAGGGAGGCTGGCTGGTAGCCCCTCCCCTCAGTCCCTTAGGCTTCATGAGGTTTCTGGGAATACGTGGAAGAAAATATTCGTGCGATTCTGCGAGTCTCTTCCTCAGGAAGGTTGGGAGGGAGAGAGTTAGGTCTGGGGCGACAAGGCCTCTGGGCAAGGGCTCCCCTGGTGGTTTCACTCTTGTCCTGGAGAGAAAGACATCAGCTAGGTTAGCACTGAGGGAATAGCACTGCCAGTGCTGATTCTGGTCCCGCATGCTCTGGTTCATGGGCTAACAACGCAGAGGTGCCTGGTGTGCAAACCACCCCACACGCCTTGTTCTGTTGAACCCTTGCCACAGCATCACAAGGGACAACTTTCTCCCCACAGTTCAGGTGCAATTAGTTCAAGGTCATGCAGTTCTGAGTGGCAGAGCTGAGGTGGGAATCCCACCTAAGCAGCTACCATAGACAAAGCCATGTGCCCGTTCACCCTTGCCTTTTTTTTGGCATACTCTGCCAGGTTTCTGCCCTGAAGCTCAGATCTGTAGAGTAAAGCCTGGGCAAGCTAGATGGGAAACAGTGAGTCGGGGTCTCACTAGGTACCTCTGTCCGGAGGGGCTGGTCTCTGACCCTTCGTCAATCCTAAAACCAGATCTTTGTTTTCACATTTGTTAGAAGTTCATGAAATGACCATCACAGACATCTGCTGGTGGCCCATCAGGCCTTCTAGAGATGTAAGATCTACTCCATCTGATCAACTCATGTGGAGCACATACAGACATGGCTCCTTGCTCAAGACAGAAGGGAGGTGAACATGGAGAAAGGAACCATTAGTAACAGCTGGGAAGGCCCAGGTAGGCTTCGGTGAGTGCTAGATCTAAGACAGGCTGAGTTTCAAGGAAACTAGGGTGGGAGTTAAGGCCACTCAAGAGGAGAAAGAGCACGAGAAAGAGCATGCACACAGACCTACAGCTGCTGCTGGATCCTCTCGCCCTCAGAGCTAAAGCTAAGGTGGTTTGTTCAGCCAACCTTCTAGCATCCACACCCAGACCCAGTGACCCACGAGACCTTATCTACATGGCCCAGGCCTTGGCCCCATGTGTAGGGAAGAGGGGTGGGGATCCATATACTTAGCATCAACTGTTGACTTTAATAAACACCTTGATTAGTAAGTGCTAAAGAATCTCTTTATTATACTTGTTATTGCAAAAACACATAACCCTGAAGGCCTGGGCAGAAGGAAAGTGTCCAAGGCAGGGACATACCCAAGTGTGTTCATCATTCCTCTACACACTGCCTAGGGGAGCTACACAGAAAACATAACAAGCAGGTGCACACCAGCCTAGCATTCACACTCCTGAGGAGGCATGAGAAGCCCACGTGGAAGTGGATCATCAAACTTTAGGGGTTGCAGAGCCTTTGTGTCTGAACAGAGGGGCCATATGTGGAGTCCCTAGGGGGGACTCCAAAAAAACATGGAGGTGGGGGAGAATATTTTTCTCTTTGTCCAGGTCCTTGTTTGGTCAGCAATGTGGTCTGATCCCAATTCCCGGCCCCTTCATTATACCTCTAGATGTTCCTCGTCCAGGTTATGTGCTCCTAGGGAGTGGTGGGTGCAGGTGTTGCCCCTAGTCTTCTTAAAGTTGTATACAACCTCTGTATACAGAGGGGAGGTAGTGGGATGGAGGGAATATTGGTCTGTGGTATAGATGACTTCTCTCGCTTAAGATTGAGATCCTTTCTGTTTGTGGTCTAGGTGCTCACTGCTGAGTGCAGGTAGTTAACTGGTTTTCTTTCTCTGGTCTACCGTGAAACTCAGAA